GTGTTATTATATGAGTTGATCTAACATATTATTCATCATACGTTTTATTATATTGTTAGATATCTCACCCCTTTTGTTTGAATGTTACCCTTATGTTGGTAACGTGCAGGTAATCCAGAGTGAAGGCAGTATATCTTCGGTAGTTCGAGTCGGTGTCATTGCTTTGATACGTAACACTCGGGGGGATGAACGTTTGTTTCTTTTAATTATTGATTATTTCAGTTGTTGAACTTTAATTTGATTATTGCTAAGTATGTGTTATTTTGAAGTTGCTGTAATTGTTGGACAAAGATGTTATTATGATTCTGCTGCGTAGTTGTTCAAGTTGTTGAATTAAGAGATTAAATTATTCTGTTGTTGGTTCATCTGAAATTTAAAGTGTTATGTATTCATGTTGAATGCAATGTGTTTTAAAAGTTGAATTTGTGACATCCTGATTCAGTTGTATGAATTTTAAAACTCTGATTTACATTCATAATTGCCTGGTAGATTGGAGTGTTACACACGCTTCTTTTCAAAGGTGAGGGTAATATCGTCAATATTTTCCTTAGATGGTTTACCAATTGCTACTGTTAAAGCGTGTGCAACTTTATTGTCTTCTTTTATATGTTAATTCATATATCCAACAAATTTATTGTTGTTTAAATAAAATTAACTAAAAATTCAAGTAGGGTAAAAATATATATTTAAGATATCAAAAGATAATTTTATTGATTATGGAAGTAACATGAATCAAATAATTTTGTTAGTGACTAAAAGATCAATCGAGTCTATTTATTCTAAAGACATATGTTAAATTTTTATTTTATAGTAGTACATTAACATTTTTGAATACTTATTTATTTTTGGTTATATCATTACAAATATATAAAATAAATAAATTATATTATATTTATTCATCATTAAATTTCAGTATTAGTCACTAAACTAGTTGATAAAAAAATTTAACAAACTTAAAAAATAAAATTGAACACTTAGCTGAATCTTATCTAATATGCTTATATATATATATATATATATATATATATATATATATATATATATATATATATATATATATATATATATATATATATATATATATATATATATATATATATATATATATATATATATATATATATATATATATATATATATATATATATATATATATATATATATATATATATATATATATATATATATATATTCATAAGAAATTCGTGCTAACGGATTCTGTCTGCGTTTATATTACATGTCTATTAAACCATCATTTATAAAGTTTATCTTTGTTTATTCAATTAGTTAACATTTATATAGTTTCAAATATAGGCTAATAATATATATTCGACTTTTAAACATTGATTCGTACTTATAATAAATGGTACAATTGATTCTATAAATTCAATTATATAAAATAGCAGCAAAAGAAATATTACAAAGAGGGACATTAAAATTAACAGTCTACAGTCGATATTTCATAGATACGTTCACATCTATCAGTGAATTTATACCTGAAAGAATCTTCATTAGGATGAGAAATGTTCCGCAGTTAAATTGAGAAATAAAAAGAAATCTTAGATTAATATACTTGTCCAAAAAAGTATTAAGTCTTTAATGTTAATCAAATTTTATTAAAAAATTCTAAAATTTAATTAAAAAATATGAATTTTAAAATTGTATTTCGTGATTAATAAAATGACAAAAATCGTTATATATATTTAAAAGATTAAAAACAAATTTAATTATATAATTAAATATTATTAAATAAAAATTTCAAATTAAAAATAAATATTTAATATAGTTTATTAAAATCAATTGAGTAATTTAATGTTGTTTTAATTTACATAAACATTAAAATACATTCCAAGTTAATAAAAATAAATTTCAAATTCAAATAGTATCTTTATTACTTGAAAATTTAATTTCTTAAGGAACTCCACAATACAATTTATTTACCAACAATTTTGTAAATATGAATTGATATACTTAACTGTGTAATGAACAATCATCATAAAAAAAAACTAATAGTATTAGAATAATCATACAAATAAATTTTTTATTACACATGAAATATTAACGAAAATTAAAAAAAGATGTACTACTATATAAAATTAGTTCTCAGAGAAGGGAAACACTCAAAATATGAATACGCAAAAAGGAAAATTGTCTTTGAATGATATTGCTTTATCAAACTATTGCATATTTAAGAGTTGTTATATCACTCAAACTGGGATTAGATTAAGATACATTTATTTAAAGTCAAATAACATTAACAAAATACCATATGAAAAACGAAGATTTGGTTAAATATAGAGAAGTTATATGCTAAGTAATTGAAGTTGTAGTTGGAGTTGGTTGACCCAAATCTATACATATATGTCAAAGTATTCTATTTATTTGTATATAAATGAGATATTAACGTGGAAATTCAGTATATTTAACTTTGGTCTACAATGTAATAGATAAACCAAATATAATATTTTCTACTAATTCCATGTAGTGTAAGATGCATGCAACATCCAAAATTACTTCAGGATTTTTTTGAAACCGCATCCAAAGTTGCATTGCTCTATTTGAATGCATTGATGTACCTTTCTCGATAGTCACAGTTTGCATTAGAAGATTCATTTTATGAGAGGTTGTTGATATAAAAAAATTCTTGTTCTAGAACAACCACCACCAGCTTCTAGTATTAACTTCTTAACAAATTATATCTTTAAATCAAAAACATTTATTGTTATAGACAAATAGCAGAATAATAGATAAATCTCTACTTCAATACATTGTCTCAGTTAAAGTAGTTCTCAAAAAGACACATATATTATAGCTACTTGAGAGTTGAGACATTGAGACACCTCTTATCATAAGGAATTCGCATATCAGTTGCTATAATATAATTTAAAATAACTTAGAATACAAAAGGTGATTTGAACAACTAAAATTAGACTACGTGAGAAGGTTGATAAAATATTGTTTCACTTCATTCGTGGAACCTGAAATTGCATCAAAGGTGATATTCAACGGAACCCCTTCTAAGATGTTCAATGAAAATTGCACGGTTCTTAGAAGTGTTTTTTGATAGAGCTGCAACCGCTATAGTAAGAAATCAAAGTCATACACCAAACAGATCAAACGTCAATTTAAAATTTAATTATATAATCACAAGTCAATGTTGAAAATTAAGAAGTAATGATAAAATGAGTAAGAGAAACGTGGAAACCTGATTGCATCCATCACATATGAAGGGTAAGAAATCAATTAGCTTGCAATCAAAAAAGTCAGCGTTTTCTCCAAGTTATTGACATTCATCTCCCTACAATAAGTATTAAGTTGTTGTTACTCAATAATTTAAATAATGATAACAACATAATCAACATTCTCTCTTATTAAATTTTGGTGATTTAACACCATGAAAAAAAAAGTAATTATTTGATAACTTACATCAATACTTGCAGTAACGATAACAAATCCAATACCAGCCAAAGAAAAATATACACCAATTTCTATATCTGGAACGAGTATTGTATCCACCTTTGTATAGACTCGAAAAGGGCCAAACGAATCTGTCAACATCATCCAACTACAACATATGACAAATATGAAGGAGATGAAATAAAAAAAAGGATATTTGATCCATAGTAACTGTCATGACGAATCACTGCGAGAAAGTATTATTAGCAGAATAGGTACATAAGCTATCATACTTCAACAATAATAGATCCAAAAACTTGTAAGAGTATTAAACTAAGTAGTTGGACATCCAAATGAAAATTCTTTGAGAAAAGAGAAAATTAAATAAGCTTCATTACAACAACAAAAAAACTACTGATATATGTAAGTAGGAATCCTAGCTTCTTTATTAAAAACAATTCATTTCGGTTTGTGAACAAATGTCCTTTTTTAAACCTTACTCATAAAGCTTTGTTGCACTTCTAACAATCTTTCACACGAGATCAAGGAAAATCCAAATAAATTTCACCATTCCAACAAAAGTACTATCATCTAAAACTTATTTTTACAGTGTGATTGTTAAGAGATAATTGACGTCTAACTAAAACCAGTTTCTTTAAAAACAATCATTGTCTAACTGTTCTAATATTAAATTGTTAAGGTTATTTATGTATTGAGCCATTAGACACTTCATATTTGAAAATATTTCATACTAAATTAAAATATGAAACTGAAAACTAAACGACAAAAAATATAACCAAAAAAGAATTAAAATAATGGAAGTGCATAAGTAACATAGCAATAGATGTTAAATTGATCCAACTTCACTTTCTCTATTTGAACTTTAATGGAATCTTATTAGCAAGGTATGCAAGGATTTTTTGTTCAAGCAAATCCATACAAACATGTTATAATATACTCACATGAAAAAAATTCCAACAAATTATAGTCATATCTCTTTATCAGTATAATAGAAATAGTGTATAAAATACAATAAATTAAATGCAAAACTTAGATTAAAATTTATATAATTAAATCTCTAACAATATAGAGGAACATTTTAAATAATAAAGTTTCAGCCTTCAGAAAACTTAAAAACCATCTTACCTGTATTCTCAGTTTTCAATTCTATATTCAAAATTCACTTAATAATAACAGCAAAAGTTGAACGCATCATACTTAGTAATTTCATTGACCCTTACTAATTGCAGGAAGAAATACTTGCCCAAAACTCCCAATAACACAACAATGAATTTCATTCACCATAGTTAACATAATGATGTACAATGAGCATTCAGTTAACTTTCAGAATACAAAAGAAATAAATTATGACATTGAGGATAGTGATTATGGTAGTTACTCAAGATCATCAATGATTGTTTAGATTCTTACTCTTGGTAACAGCTACCCAGGTACTTGAATTGATTATGATTGTATAGTTGGTTAGAACCACCTTGGTTAGAATCACTTGCTCTAATTAAAATATATAAGAGTTGAGGAATGAATCATATAATGACTCATTTTATTTTCAAACACAGCCTATATAAACAAGTATAACAGGAAAACTATATTATAGGAAGAAACTTCCATTGATATTTTACGTCAGAGTCATCCATCAAATGCCAAGCTTTTTCATCAGAACACACATAGTCAAAGTAATGCCTTGAATTAGTTGTGTATTCGCTATGCACAACAACTGTGTATAGATCATACATCAAGTTTGGCTGTTACATAAGAATGAGTAAGAAAACATCAAATTTGAATGGAGAAATTTGGATAGTTATTACAGTATAAATTGTAATTGCAGCCTAATATAAATAAATGTTTGGAGTGTAACCACATGGAAACCACAATATAAAACTATAATTGGGTGTAACATAATTGAATTTGAAATACTTGCAGAAAAATTGAAAAAAAATGCAGGAGGGAATAAAATGATTTATGAACTTACATTTTTCCTGCAGAGATATAAGGCTCCAAATCCAACTATAGTGAAATAAACATGATTTTCAATCTTTCCATAATATGCTATGTCCATTTTAAACTTTCTCAAATGTAGTACTGGAATTTCTAGTGTTATATCAATCAAAAGTTGTTTCTCCGTGTATACTTCTTAGTCGCAGCCACTACATTTAAAAATCTCATCCATACTTTCTACCATGATATAAGCATCCAAAGTTCTTTGAACGGTATTCACATCTTCTACCGTTAAACCCAAGTCAAACATTGGATCAACGATATCAAAAGAGAAACCACAATTGCGACATCAAAGTTGAATAATAACAAACATCAAAATCAGAAGATAAAATCATCTATGAATAACTAAAATAGAAAAGAATTAATATTCGCAATTAGCATCATACTTTGCTAACAATTTCATCTCCAAATGTTTGTTCATCTTTCTTGAATCCTGAAAGCCTCAAATTAAATTTAAAAAATAAAAACTCATTTTTATCCAGAAGAGTAGCAAAAACAATTATGAATATTTTCTATCTCGGTCTTCAGCTTCTCTTCAGCTTCATCCATTTCCCGTAACCCAAAAATAAATTAGTCTCATATAAAAATTAAAACCAAACACACCCTCAATTAAAACCCTAAAATAGCAGTAGCCAATTTAATATCTTGAACTAAAAAATTCACAAAATAATTCAAAAAATTGAAAAGTCCATATCAAATCAATCATTCGAAACAATTACATAACAAAATTGATCAACTATAGAAAACTTATTACTGTAAATCAAGCATTTTCAATATAATCAAAGCAAGGAAAGCAAATAGAAAATGACAATCAAAAAATAAAAAATATGTGCCACATTTCTAACATTAATCGGAAAAGGAGATGGAAGCATATATTTATGTTTTACAAGAAAAGATAGAAACTTGGAAAGTTATGGATTTGAATGAAAAGTTATAGGTTTGAAGAAGAGAGGTTTTTGAACGAAAAAGAAAACATAATGATACAATATGAAAAGTTGTGGTATTTGTTATTGCCTTTTCAAAACTCAATGTATTATAACAACCTTTTCAAAACCTAATATCAAATTCTATACACATTTAGTGAAATGAATCGGTTCCAATAACCAATAATTATGAATATTTTGTTAGGGTTAATTAATGATTATTAGTGATTAAAAAAATAAAAAATATTGTAAAAATCTATTATATTGACACATCAGCAGCATTAAATGTCAAAACAATGTGGTGATGGTAGTAATTCAAAAAACCTATTTTATGTTTATACTAATAAAATTAAAGATTTTAATTAAAAAGTTAGTAATATATATATATATATATATATATATATATATATATATATATATATATATATATATATATATATATATATATATATATATATATATATATATATATATATAATTTAACAATGATATATAAAAAAAATATTATATTAAATATTTTAAGATTATATAAAATTTGTTAAAAATCATTCTCAATTTGTTTCACAAAATTTCATATCATCCAAGAACAACCAACTAATTGCAGTGGAATATAACATGGATTAGTTTGTATCGAAAACATTCAACATATTGAATGAGAAATGAGTAGAGCCACTTATAATATTTTACAAAATATAATTGATTGTTGTGATTATTTATATTTTTATCTCACCTAAACTATTTAGAGTCAATTATTTTATAGAAAATAAATTTTTTATTTTCACCAAAATTTATCATTTTTTTGTCTATAAATAGAGTCTCGGTTCATTTGATTTGGACAAAAAAATTTTTTTTTCTCTCTAAATTTTCTATTTAACCTTCAATAAATTATTGTTTATAGCTCTAAACAATTTTTTTTTAGTGAAATGAATCCCAACAATAACTCTCTTATAATAAAAAAATAAAAACATTAAAATAAAAATAAAAATATGAAATAAAAATGGTGGGATAAAGTGTTGAATTTAATTAAACAAAACTATTGCAGTGAATAAAAGTTAAAAGAGTGTTGAATTATTAGGTGGAAGAGAGAGAAGATGATATGGAGTGTAAAAAATGGAAAAAAACGGATGTCAAATAATTTTGCCATTGAGTGTATTTAAATGCATTTAAATAAAAATCAAACATAAACATCATTATTCATCAACTTCATCCCTTAGTGTATTTAAATGGGATTAAATAAAAGTCAAACATTCCTAAAAATCTATCCTTAATTGCAACTGTCACAGTTTTCAAAACCTATGATAAATATAATGAAGGACAGAACACCACTGCCAAACTCTAACAGTCCATCCTTAATAATACAACCTTCCAAAATTTAAATACTCCTAAACTACAAAAAGCATTGAAGCTCATTATATAGTAAAAAGAAACAAAATATGCATCTTAAGCGTACGAGTCAATACAATATCAGGCCCCGGATTGAGGTTGGTACCTGCTGTATTTCTCATATCTTCGAGAGACACCTTCGTTAACTAAGGTGTCCCATAACTGCAACATAGCTAGATATTAGTATCAATTTCGAAGAGGGAATTATTGAGAATACCAAAGTTAAAGGTCTTCTCTTTTCACTTACTTCTAATTTTCCCTTTGAGCCTCCTATTGCCAACAAGAATGGGTTGTCCTCTGCGAAAGAGATAGAAAAGACAGACCCCTAACAAACACCGAGAGCAAAAAAACCGTCAGTGCCAATTCAACAAAAGACTTCATGATTCATCAAATATGGACTTACAGCTTTTGGTTCTTTCGTTGCGACACAAGATGGTTGGTTGTTAGACAAATCCCATAGTTTTACCTGAGACAAATAACAGAAGGAAAATAAGATGAATACCAATCTGCAGCGTACGGTATTCAGGAAAACAACAAATTTGACATCACTATTACCGTTTTATCCGTGGATCCAGTAGCAAGAAGCTGCATGAGGTCGGGTCAACAGGGAAGGGTCAAACTAAAGGAAATAATAAGATTGTAATAACACCGAAGATTTGAAATACATACATTCGGAGCTGACATATTATAGGCTAGGGAGGTAACAGATTTGTCGTGTGCATGAAGTGTAAAAGTAGCACTCTGCTCAGATGTGGCATTGGACATGGCATTCCGGACATCAAAACACTTGATGGTACCATCTTCAAGACTCACCTAACAGGACAATTAAATCATGATTAGTAAACATTCATCTAACAGAAAAAGAATTGGTTAATAAATAAATAAATAAAACATAAGGGGAAGTTAGTATAATATCTTTATCAGAAAAGAAAAAAGAGGCTAGTTTGTTTAATTTATCAGATGTTTAAAGTAAAATTAGTTCACAAGGGACATAAATTATCATAACGCACCGCAAAAAGGTTCTCAGCGTGTGGATCCCATGCCAAGCTCTCTACATCAGCACCGACTGACCACGTACAGCCTGAGTGTGACGGATTCCTTACATCCTTCTGCAGGTTTAATATAACTAAAACCATTAAATTGCTGAAATCTTAAATAAAAATTAATACCTCCGAAGTATAATAAGTAATCAGTACTAAATATAAAGGCCAAGTAACAAGAAAACATAGGATCATTACCAAAACAACTGTATGATCAAATGCGCCACTAAGAAGAACATGTTGTCTATGATGATTCCAAGCAACTGCTTGAACCTGTGAGGATAGTTGAAAGGCATCAGCAAAAACATTGACTCAAACAATTTTAATTATTCAATGATGGGAATTTAAAGAATATTTCATTTTACAATTTAACTAAAAAATATGTCTCATCTTTTTCCTTATCAAAGATATGCATTGTAAATTGATTCTTACCTTGTCAGTGTGATGCTCCATTGTAAGAGTACACTTTCCAGCGACGACATCCCAATTTTTTACGCTCTTGTCAGCACTAGCACTTGCAAGTAGATTGCTGTAATTTTTAAGAATATTTGTCAAACTTGAGGTGTCAAGGAAGGGAGATAAAAAAATTGTACAAAAAACCATTATGTTCCCTGAAAGCGGAGAGCAGAGAAAATAAAGCAGAATCCAAATCTAACAAACCTGAACTCCTTGTTCCAAGCAAGACCAAGTACTGAGCCAGTGTGACTGTCCTCTCTGTATTTTATTGATTTCTTTTACGAAAGAAATTGCAAAATCAGTTGAAGAGATTCAAATGATAGATTGAAATCAAATTTTAATAAAAAGAAATTGCTAAAAATATCTGTTTTAAATCTAAAAGGATTAAATACAATAATAATGAGAGGAGTAAATCTAGCTTAAAAAGCTTCTGTTGGGATATACAATTTAGTAAGCAAGTAACTTTATGCTGATTGATTAACAAGGATGTATAACAAACCTTTTTCCCATGTTTCCCCTTTTTGCTTTGCTCTTTGCCACCTAACACCACACATGGTTCTACCTCATCAATCTGAGAACAAAAGAAAATTACAACATATTCTGCACCCAAAAAAAACCCTCCATTTAAGCTTAGGAGCTTTAGGATAGTGCAGCAACATTTATACACTTACAACATCAAGATCCCAAATTTCTATCGATGGTCCCATTGAACCAACGGCCAAGAAGTTTCCTGTTATCATTACGAAACAATTTTAAGATAGTAAGATGATGCAAAGGTTGAATCTTAAACATAAATTGCAATAATCTAAAACATAAAGCATTAATCTCCTTATTTTCTACCAAATCGTTATTCATAACTTAAGTTTGTTAATCTCCTTGTGTTATTCATATTTCCATTAACCCATACATTTACTAGCAAAGAAACAGAAGATAGAAAGACTGAATAGCAAAAAACATTACAAACCATCCATCTACACATATGAAGCAAAAAACTCATAGGGTTCGAACCTTTTTCTCCTCCTTTAAGGGGACAATCAAGCCAAGCCGTGCAGAGTGGAAATTCCGGAATAATAATATCATGGTGAATATACAAGTTCATATCACGGGTATTGGCATCCTCAAGTATCCAAACCTGCCAAAGCCAACAAAAGTGTGTGATAAATCTAAAAAGTAATAGTAAAAGCTCTTTTTAATTAAATGATTATAACAAGTTAGTCCTATAAACACATTCTTTACAAAAAAAAAAAAAACTCATTATTTACACTAGATTATGGAAATTAAGTACTTAGTTCATCTTAATGTAAGTCTACATGATCTAAAACTACGTCTAAAAACATCAATACACTTAAAACCTTCAAAATTTTGATAACATAAAACTGCATCCAAATTTACACATGCTATCTTGCCCCTCTTCTAGAGGCACATTAGACATTCATGTGCATGCATGTGTTTTTAGTGATTATGCAGAATTAGTAATAACTTCATTTGCATGGAAAAATTGCTTTTCAGGAAAAGTAAAAAACAATATTTTGAGCATTTTGCATATAATATGAGCCTCTAAACGTCATTCATAAAATCACAGGGTATATGTTTCTATACAAACTACTTTTCAGTTTGGGTATCCAAAAGTTTCACAAATGAAGCAATTTTAAAAGAACCCAAGCAGCAACCCCATTGGATAAATTTAAGGCGAACACTCTTGTACCCTTAAATTTAGTTGACTTTGAATCATTCATAGCCTCTGAGATGCCGAGAGACACAAAAGACATACATGTAGAAGGGGTTGATGATGTACATGTAGGATGCGCTAAAAATACTGCTGAAGTCACATAATGTATAGTATAACATAAAACTAACTTACTTCAAGGTAATTGACATCGTCTTCCGTACGCGCGCAAACAACAACAGAATCAGTTGGATTAATAATCATGTCTTCAACATCTTCAGAATCATACTCTTCCTAAACAACATATAAATGATACAGAAATCAGTAAACAAATCAAATTAACCTAAGAATACATTAAAGTGTTTGAATTTATCTCACATTCTTATCTTTGATATATGGATCTAATTCATTACTCTGATAATAAAGATCACCCGTCCCTGAACTGAACAACTCAAAACCTAACATCAATAGAAAAATCAAACATAATTAATTACGCATCCTGACACTACCACGACAACACCGATAATAATTTAAAAAATGAATAAATTAATCGTAATAACAACTGACACAGAAACGCTTCTTTTCAAAGGTGTCGGTGCTATATTAAAAAGACACCTTTATCATCTTCATCATCATAGGTTTCCATGTTGAGCTCTTGCAAGGCGAGGGTAATATCGCCAGTATTTTCCTTGGATGGTTTACCAATTGCATCAGCTACTGTTAAAGCATGTGCAACTTCATCGTCTTCTTCCATATCCTTCTCTTCATCCACACTGCAATAATTTTATACAAGAGAATGTTAATGTTAATGTTAATTATTGATTATTGATGGTGATTGGTTAGTGAAAAGGAACAAACTCACGCGTGTTTGAGATGAGTTCATCGATTTCCTCTTTGGAAGGGGGTTCGGCGAAAACAGGTTCCGCTTTGAAGACTCCTTTAGGAATCCATGAAATTGCGGCGATCATGGCTCTCTGATTCTACCGCAGAGTGAAAGGTAGCGGTGGGTGGCTGGCGGCGGAAAACAAACAGTGTAACCAACAACAAATGAAGTTAAACCCTTTTGATTAATTTTTCATTATTTATTTATCTCGTAAAAAATAGTACATATTTATTTAGACACAATTGTTTAGTGAATATATAACAGTATAACTCTACAGTATAACTCTGAAGCTGTTATATATTTCAACACAGAAGCTGTTATATGTTTTTAACTTCTGCATTGAGTAATAATTAAGTGAATGCGTAAGATAACATGAATGAAAATTATCAAATAAGTTTGAGAGCATGCTTTGTATATGGTAAAGTTTGTTGCATAAAAATGCATATACTACTTACCTGTAAACAGCCAAATTAATAGAAAACTAGTATAATGTTACAAACATAATCTAACTCCAAAAACTAGTAAAAGAAATTTAATTTTGTTTAAATTAAACCCCACCAAGAATCAGCAACATGGATTCAGATTTCAAAATATAACAAAATGAACAGTGCCAATACATGAAGACAATAATACATAACAAAAAGAACAGTGCCAATACATTAAGACAATAATACAAGAACAATCACAACAATATAACAACATGGATTCAGATTTCAAAATATAACAACAAGAACAGTGCCAATAACAAAAATATACAGGCATTGCAGGTTCTAATAGCATACAGTAACAGTAACGAAATACAATTGAAGCTTACAGTATATTCACGACATACAATCGAAGCTTACAGTATATTCACGAAATCGAAATCAAAGTTACAACAGTAGACAAAATCAGAGTCACAACAGTCAAAAAAATTGAAGCTTCGTAGCATATCACAGTAGTAAAAATCAAAGTCCCAACAGTATATTCACGAAATTGAAATCGATGTTACAACAGTAGGCGAAATCAGAGTGACGAGAGTCACAAGATCGAAGCTTCATATGATATAACAGTAGGCAAAATCAAAGTCACAATAGTAACGAAATCGAAGCTTAATAGCATATGTTCACACTAACCTGGAACGAGAGGCGAGAGAGACGGAGCGAACAGCCGAACAGGAACAGGCGAAGCGAGTGAGAGAGACGATATATGCTTCGATTTTTAGTTGAAATGGAACAGCCAAACGAAGAGGACCGGCGAATCGAACAGGAAGAATAATAGTAGCTGCGGTTTCACGGTTTCATTTTCAGGAAAAGCGATATACATACGTATTGATAGTGATATTAGGTTATGAGGCAGTGAGTTGAGATATACGTACTGCAACTTTGATTTCAACTAAATTCGCCGGAGACGGCGGCGGGGGAGGCGGAAGACATAATCGGAACGAGCGATGATTCTAGAAGAAAACTGACTCGGTGAGAATCGGTGGAAAACGAGTGAGTGAGTGAGTGAGTGACTCGGGGAAAGGAATAGAAATAGATAGAGAAAGAGTGAGTGAGAGAAAGAAGAGATGGATAGAGAGATGAGACTGAGTGCGTGGTGGTGAATATAAGAGTTTCAGACGGCAATGAGGTGGAGACCATGTGGGGTGACAAATTTTTACAATTAAATATCTTTTTTCCTTTTTTTTTTCTTTTTTTTTTATTTACAAAAAATATTCACAATTAAGAAAAAGTATAAAAAATAAGTGAAAACAATATTTTTATTATATAAAATAGCAGCAAAAGAAATATTACAAAGAGGGACATTAAAATTAACCGTCTACAGTCGATATTTCATAGATACGTTCACATCTATCAGTGAATTTATACCTGAAAGGATCTTCATTAGGATGAGAAATGTTCCGCAGTTAAATTGAGAAATAAAAAGAACTCTTATATTAATATATTTGTCCAAAAAAGCATTAAGTCTTTAATGTTAATCAAATTTTATTAAAAAATTCTAAAATTTAATTAAAAAATATGAATTTTAAAATTGTATTTCGTGATTAATAAAATGACAAAAATCGTTATATATATTTAAAAGATTAAAAACAAATTTAATTATATAATTAAATATTATTAAATAAAAATTCCAAATTAAAAATAAATATTTAATATAGTTTATTAAAATCAATTGAGTAATTTAATGTTGTTTTAATTTACATAAACATTAAAATACATTCCAAGTTAATAAAAATAAATTTCAAATTCAAATATTATCTTTATTACTTAAAAATTTAATTTCTTAAGGAACTCCACAATACAATTTATTTACCAACAATTTTGTAAATATGAATTGATATACTTAACTGAGTAATGAACAATCATCATAAAAAAAAAACTAATAGTATTAGAATAATCATACAAATAAATTTTTTATTACACATGAAATATTAACGAAAATTAAAAAAGATGTACTACTATATAAAATTAGTTCTCAAAGAAGGGAAACACTCAAAATATGAATACGCAAAAAGGAAAATTGTCTTTGAATGATACTGCTTTATCAAACTATTGCATATTTAAGAGTTGTTATATCACTCAAACTGGGATTAGATTAAAATACATTTATTTAAAGTCAAATAATATTAACAAAATACCATATGAAAAACGAAGATTTGGTTAAATATAGAGAAGTTATATGCTAAGTAGTTGAAGTTGTAGTTGGAGTTGGTTAACTCAAATCTATACATATATGTCAAAGTATTCTATTTATTTGTATATAAATGAGATATTAACGTGGAAATTCAGTATATTTAACTTTGGTCTACAATGTAATAGATAAACCAAATATAATATTTTCTACTAATTCCATGTAGTGTAAGATGCATGCAACATCCAAAATTACTTCAGGATTTTTTTAAAACCGCATCCAAAGTTGCATCGCTCTATTTGAATGCATTGATGTACCTTTCTCGATAGTCACAGTTTGCATTAGAAGATTCATTTTATGAGAGGTTGTTGATATAAAAAAATTCTTGTTCTAGAACAACCACCACCAGCTTTGAATGCGTTCAAAGAATTTAGGGTTTAGGGTTTAGGGTTTAGGGTTTAGGGTTTAGGGTTTAGGGTTTATGGTTTAGGGTTTTAGGGTTTTAGGGTTTATGGTTTAGGGTTTTAGGGTTTATGGTTTAGGGTTTTAGGGTTTTAGGGTTTAGGGTTTAGGGTTTAGGGTTTTAGGGTTTTAGGGTTTAGGGTTTAGGGTTTTAGGGTTTTAGGGTTTTAGGGTTTTAGGGTTTTAGGGTTTATGGTTTTAGGGTTTAGGGTTTAGGGTTTAGGGTTTAGGGTTTTAGGGTTTTGGGTTTTGGGTTTTAGGGTTTAGGGTTTATGGTTTAGGGTTTTAGGGTTTAGGGTTTAGGGTTTAGGGTTTTTAGGGTTTTGGGTTTTAGGGTTTAGGGTTTTGGGTTTTGGGGTTTTAGGGTTTTAGGGTTTTAGGGTTTTTGGGTTTTTAGGGTTTTAGGGTTTTAGGGTTTAGGGTTTAGGGTTTAGGGTTTAGGGTTTTAGGGTTTAGGGTTTAGGGTTTTAGGGTTTAGGGTTTTAGGGTTTAGGGTTTAGGGTTTAGGGTTTAGGGTTTATGGTTTAGGGTTTTAGGGTTTAGGGTTTTAGGGTTTAGGGTTTAGGGTTTATGGTTTTAGGGTTTAGGGTTTAGGGTTTTGGGGTTTATGGTTTAGGGTTTAGGGTTTAGGGTTTAGGGTTTTGGGTTTTGGGGTTTTAGGGTTTATGGTTTAGGGTTTAGGGTTTAGGGTTTAGGGTTTTAGGGTTTAGGGTTTTAGGGTTTTAGGGTTTAGGGTTTAGGGTTTTAGGGTTTAGGGTTTAGGGTTTAGGGTTTAGGGTTTTGGGGTTTAGGGTTTAGGGTTTAGGGTTTAGGGTTTAGGGTTTAGGGTTTTGGGTTTTGGGTTTTGGGGTTTTGGGTTTTTGGGTTTTGGGTTTAGGGTTTAGGGTTTAGGGTTTAGGGTTTAGGGTTTGGGGTTTGGGGTTTGGGGTTTGGGGTTTGGGGTTTGGGGTTTGGGGTTTGGGGTTTCAGGTTTAGGGTTTGGGGTTTGGGGTTTGGGGTTTGGGGTTTCGGGTTTCGGGTTTCGGGTTAGGGTTTAGGGTTTGGGGTTTAGGGTTTAGGGTTTCGGGTTTAGGGTTTAGGGTTTAGGGTTTAGGGTTTAGGGTTTAGGGTTTATGGTTTAGGGTTTAGGGTTTATGGTTTTAGGGTTTTATGGTTTATGGTTTTAGGGTTTTATGGTTTAGGGTTTAGGGTTTAGGGTTTATGGTTTATGGTTTAGGGTTTAGGGTTTAGGGTTTTAGGGTTTTAGGGTTTAGGGTTTAGGGTTTAGGGTTTAGGGTTTAGGCTTTTAAATTAATTTCCCCAGCAGAGTCGCCAGTTCTGTGATACGGTGGGAGAACTGACTTGGTCGTTTTGCGTTTGTATTCACAAATGTTGCGGTTAGCAAGAGTCGCCACTGACTTTTCTTTTATCCAATAAGGAAAGGCTGAAAAGAACAGGAAAGACCTTTAGAGATGTTTTCTTGAGTTCGGGGGGTAGTTTATGAAAAGGGAAGGTGTTAGCACCCTTTCCATCCATGGTTTTCCATAGGCTCTTATTTATTTACTAGATCACTTGCTTTGTTTGAAAATAGGCTTTGTGTTGTGGGTTTGAGAGTATTTTGAAAATGTCTTTGTAATGGTTCTCGTTTCTATAAGAACGCGTACAGAGTGTTGTTTCGAAAATAGTTCAAATAGATGTTTGTGGAATGTGTTTTTTGAAAGTGTTCTTGAAAATATGTTTTTGTAATGGTTCTCGTCTCTATAAGAACGTATCCAAAAAACTTTCGTCTTTTGAGGAAAAGGTTTTAATGTAAAAAGTGTTGGTGTAAAATGTTTGGTTATGAGCAAGCGAGCAACTAGGATGTGAAGGGACGAGTGTGGGATATTTGTGTATAGTCATAGAAGGCAACTTATGAGACGCTTTAGCAGTTTTTCGTAAGGGACTAGGTCATTTTATCGAAGGCAACATCGAGGGACTATGATCTTTTATCGGAGGGTCTTTTCTAAAGCGTCCCATATTCGAGGGACATGA